TTATTCTAGAGCTTACTGGGCTCTGCTGCCTCCAGCACTGCCACTGTCTCTCCTACCTTGGTTTAGAGCTAAACAATGACTGTGTTTTTAGTCATCATCCCCACTAGTAAGCCTCCCGGACCCTGTCACCTCTGCATGGCTGGGTTAAGTGCCCTGTCTTTCGACAGCACTCTGAACTTGCCTCCACCTTTGTGACTGTCACACAGAACTGTAATGTTTGTTGGCTTCTTGTCTTTCTCCTCCACTGGACTGTGCAACTTGGGTTAGGGATGATAGTGTTGATTTCTGAATCCAAAACAGGATTTTTAATAGATGAGTGACCTCAGGTAAATTCCCTAATGCCTTCAGCCTCAGTTTCCATAAAATGGGTATAATAATTATGCCTATTTTAGAATGGAATGAGTCAATACAGATTTATTTTAAAAAGCTTAAAACAGCACCTAGCACATAGAAAGTGTTTAATAAATAGTGGTTGCTGTTTATTATCATTGTTAAGCAGTAGACAACTTGTATTGTGCAAATCAAAAAGTTCTTAATAAATCTTATTGCAATTCTCTACACATCCCGATTTTTAATTTCCATCATCACCATTCAAAGCCAATGAATTAAGTTGAGGTGGAACATACCTGCTTCCGTAGTTAAAACTGTCAGAAAGGAAAGCTGTGAAAACTGAACCCAGAGTGCTCTCCTTGGAGTTTTTGGGAGGTTTTGATGCTTGGGCCATAGACTGCTCACTGGCAGTGCCTGAATGTTGTCACCAAGCTGAACAAATCACACATTTTAATGCCCCTGTGTTACCAAAGACAGGTAATGAGTTTTGAGGATTCCCCACCCCCACCCCAAACAGTCTCTGTTTAGGCAGCAGGGAAGGGGGAGCTGAAATGGGGCCTCTTCTCTTGGGATGATGACTTTGACATGGGAAACAAAAGAGAACTAACGCTGGGAAACTCCCTGTACTGTTGGCCATCATAGTGTGAGGTGCTTGACAGTTCTATAGAAAAGTAGCCTATTCATTTCATGGATGCAGTTGAGGTTCCCACATGTTACAGCAACATCTCCATTAGCCAGGGAACTGGGATTTGGGTCAAAGGGTATTTAACTCCCAGCCTATGCCCTTTCCTCTCCAGTATGCTGCCTTCAAACTTGTGCTCTGGTTCCTAGAGATAGAATCTAAGCTTTTCACATGAAGTCCTGTGTCCCTGTGGGTTCTGTGGCTCCCATCATCTCTTGCTTACTACTTAATACAGAAAGACTGCTTGCCTTGGGTTCATGCTGACATACAAACTTCTCTGGGGTATCTGAATGGCTGTGTGCTGGGACAGAGCTGAACTCCTCAAGTGAGGAGTCTCTTTTTTAAATGCCCATGCATTGTTCAGTGGTTAGGAGACTTGACAGGACCTAACTTTGAATTGATGGAAGCACTCCTGTCAGTGTTTAATCTGCTCCCTGAAGTGGAGTTTCATCCTAGACCCAGCACAGATAGCCAAGGAGCTGTGGGAAGACAGCTGCTTCTTCCCTCCAGTGTCCCTAGAAAGCCCTGCTCTGGGGGAAAACAAGTTGTCTGTCCACAGGGCAAGCAGGAGGAGGAGTGTTTTCTGAGCCGAGACTTTGGGTCTGTGTGTACCCTACCTGTTTATCTGAGGGCTGGTCATCCCGGCACAGGTTCCAACCCAGAGACAGGAGCGCGTGCCACCTGGAAGGCAGATGAGGACCAGGAGCACCCTGCCAGCCCACCACCAACACTCCCGCCAGGATCATTGTCTTCTCAGGTTCAAACCCAGCATCCCACATTAAGTAAAGGCTTTAAAAGATGTATTTCAATAGACTTTTTAGAAAGCCCACAAAAAATCCTGGATATAAAGAAATGAGGCATAAAACCCAGAATGTTTGGAAGTCAAGCTGAAAATTGTGGTGGCAAGTCTCCATCTCCACTTGTTAAATGGGAGCATAACTTAACACTTGCACCTAGACGGAGCCTGAGAACCACTTGCATTCTATGCTCTTACGTTTCAGAAACATATGAGGGTGTTACTCAAAAAACAAAACCCTGCCTATCTCCCCCCCTACAGTGCTGTAGACATGGAACAAGATCCAAAGTTGGCATTCATCTGGAGGGAAAGGAGCGGAGCTTGGGACTGACCTAAGGAAACTCTTATTAGGTCTGCCTGAATGTGCAGCATGCAGGGCAGAACCTCTTTCTCCGTTTAATGTGTACGTTTTTACAGAAATGGAGCCCCAGAGTAAGATACTGCACACTCACGAAGGTCCATTCCAAGGGCCGCGTGTGCCCCTTCCCTTCGCTGTTGTTTTCATTTTCCTCTCATGAACCTTGCTACCCTGGCTTCAGCACGGAGGCTGTAAAGGAAGATGGAGAGCCGAGTTACCTCAGAATGATCACTATCGTTAACATTCACGGGTGGTTCACTTATCATTCCTGACTGCACAGACATGGCAGCCGCTCGGAAGCGTCCGCAGGTGTAGCATGGTGATACATATTACATTGTGCCACAATGGATTTATGTATTCTGTAACAAAAGAAAAGTGTAATGAAAAAATACAGAAGGTAATCCTTTATTCCTCCACCACACAATTTATCAGTAATGCCTGTGGATGATAAGTGCCAGGGATTTCCTCTGCTTGCTTTAACCTTGTCACCCAGGTACATTTTGGTAAAATGACAGAAAAATACAGACTGGGGATTTTCCTTTGCTCAAAAATCTTTTAAAAGGACACTTTTAATTTATGGAAGTTAGTCCAAACACAAGGCTTCCTTTTGAGCTTTTAGTCTGCCTTTGCTGAAAAAGATAAACGTATTGGCTGGAAATAATGCTGTCAGTCAGCAACAGATTAGGAGGGGAACATAAGCAGTTTCTAAGCAGGCTGAAATCTACAGTAGTTCCAGTAGAACCAGGTGGATGGCAGTTCATGAGGTCCAGGCCAGTACTGGTTTGTGAGTACCCAAGAACTTGTGTTCTCTTTTAGGCCCGACTCATCCATCGCACAACATATTGTCACAGATGGAGCGCATACTGACTTCCGAGGAGAAAGCAGGGGAAGGCAAATCTGAACGTGGTTGACTGGCATTTGTTCCAAACACACACTGGCCTAGCGCCAGAGCAAATACCCTCAAGTTTATAAATGCACAAGGCGCTTTACATTTCAGTACTCTTGCCAAAGTATCACTTACTGCATCGCTCCCTAAATATCGTTTTTAAAAAGAGCTTTTTCTTATTTTGCTTTGATCAGTAAAATAAACTTTTAAAGATTGTTCTGGGATGGGGTCCAGCTTCTGAGGTAAAGAATGGCCGGGACTCAGGCATGATTCAGTAACAGAGTGTTCAGTAAAATTAGCTTGACACTTCTCAGGCCTGCTGTTCAATAGCAAGAACTTGACCAAGTTAAAATGGATGATGGGGCTGGCCAGACCAGTGTCGGCTTTTGCTTTTTAACAAATGAAATGTCAAGGATTAAACAGCAAGCCGTATGGAGAGGAGAGTTGTGGAGATGTCTCTGTATTAGGGAAGCAAATTAGGTCCTTGGGTTTGAAATCGACCCCCATCCCCTATGGAGAGTCAGCCACCTGGTTGGGTCCAACCTAGGCTTAGGGCCCTTCCCAGCCTGTCCTACCACTGGGAAGCTTTTCCAGAGATTAGCTTGGGGCTTGGCTTTTCTTTCAGATTTCTTGTCAATATGAAGTTCTGCCATGTTTTTTGGCCATGTTCCCTTTAGAGATTCTTATGGGGAAATGGGAATGCGACCAAATTCCTTGTGGCAATTCCCATGTTCCATAGTTGGAAACTTGGGTCCCGTTTGTTACATGAGCTACTTGGAATTGGTCTGTTTTGTTTCAGTGCCCAAGCGTAGTGAGTAGGTATTTGTGATACTCGCTATTGCAATTAACAGTCTTGGTGAAGTTATACCTCACACAGGAGATGGGCTTCTGTTTTTAGAGTACTTGTTTGTTAGTGTTTTTTTTCTCGATCTAGATGAAGCCTTTCCCCCAATTTGATTAATTGAAAGCTTACAAGGAGTGTTAGTGTTTTATCTTATAATTACTTGTGTTTCAGCTAATATTATGATTTTCTAGAACCAAGTATATTAAACCATTCCTACTGAAGTGTACAGACTACATTTTAAAAAAAGAAAAAACTGTGGCCAGGCGCAGTGGCTCACACCTGTAATCTCAGCACTTTGGGAGGCTGCAGTGGGTGGATCACAAGGTCAGGAGTTCAAGACCAGCCTGGCCAAGATGGTGAAACCCTGTCTCTACTAAAACTACAAAAACTAGCCAGGCACGGAGGCAGGCGCCTTTAATCCCAGCTACTTGGGAAGCTGAGGCAGGAGAATCACTTGAACCCTGGAGGCGGAGGTTGCAGTGAGCCAAGATCATGCCACTGCACTCCAGCCTGGGCGAGAGTAAGACTCCATCTCAAAAAAAAAATGTGTGCGTATGTATGAATAAATAAATATACATACATACATATATATATATGTTTACTAGCTAGTTAGAGCATTTTATTTTCCTCCTTCTCAATTACTTTGGGGTATTACTCCCCGCTGCCCCTTGCATGACATTTTTCTTTGTCTGGGGCTCCATAAGTTTAGTATGATGGCAGTATCTGCCTGCAGTGACATCTACTGAAACAAGCCAAGTTTTTCAATTGTCAATCCTTGTTGCAGGATTTGTTTTGGAAGCCAACACTAGGAACCCATGGTGCTGCTGACCCACACAGACCGTTCAGGTTCAACTTGGAACAAATTAGAAAAACCTTCCCTAAGCCTGACTGACCCCTCTATCACTTGGAACTGCTCATGCTAGAATGCTTTTATCATTTCTCCTGCCCCCCACCATTAGAAGTATATTTATTGAACCGGTTTTTAAATAATTGGCACCTCAGTATGCACTTACTTTAAAACTTGCTTAAACACAGTGAAGATTGCAATAACATCTCTCTCTAGGTGAATGTTGGTAATGATTTCATATTTGTTTTTTCCTACAGAAACGCTGCTCACGGATTCTCCCTCATTCAGGTGGACAACACAAAGGTCACCATGAAGGAAATCTTACTAAAGGCAGTGAAGCGAAGAAAAGGATCCCAGAAAATTTCAGGTGGGATAGTTAAATCATATTCTCGCAGTAGAAGCTTAACCCTTATTAAAAGGGCGCGCGCGCGCGTGTGTGTGTGTGTGTGTGTGTGTGTGTGTGTGTGTGTCTGTGATGGCTGGCTAGATTGTTTCAGATGGCATTGCTAGAAGGTTTGGTTAGCAGATATACTCAAGAAAAGGTGATTGTACACTGCCCCTGGGCCTGAGAAAGGGACTGGGTCAGCAGCATATGTGAGAAGAATATATTCATATCAGTTGTGGAAGTTTCTTCATTTATAATTTGTGGTAGAGTCAGACAGAGCTACCTGTGCTAATAATTAGTTGATCTTGAAAACCAAATCAGTCCTAAACTTGAATCACTGCTTTTAGTTTCATGTTTTCACATAATTTCCTGTAGGAGAACTTTTGGTAACTAATGTTTGTGGGATCGGGAAGAAAAGAAAAATTTCTCCTCATCCTTACCAAATGAGGGCAACCTTTAAAAAAAAAGATGAATAAAAAGACAAATCACTTGATGAGCACAAATAACCTAACTCCTCATTACAAACTTTATGTAGAAAATATGCTTATAGTATTAGCTGTGATATTTAAAGGATATATACCAGGATTGAGAAATAATTATTTTGAGAAATAGCTCAAGATTTGCCATACCACAGACAACTTTAATATAAATCAACTCATATATGACATGTTGACTATCTTAGCTTTGTAAATAGAGAGTCTTCTTAAACAGCTTTGATTTCACCTTTTGGAAAGAAAAAAAAAAGCATTGCTGGGGTTGAAGAAAATAGTTTTGTGGTCTCTTTAAGGGGGGGCATATAATCTGTTGCAGATTTAATTAGCTATCTTCAGATGAAAGCTGAAGTTTTAATAAAAGTTAGAAGAGATAACACAGTGAAGGACACGGATGAGCTGTCTCAAGGCCATATTCCAGGGGAACGATAAGAGCTGTAAAAAATGGCAGAGGAGAGCAATTGAATGGAGCAATGAAAATCTGATTCTCATAAAAAAGAGAGAGAGAGAGAGATGCTGGTAGGGGTGGTTGTAGATGAGACCTGCTAGCGTCTGCAAGCAATTTGGATGCTTGCCAGGAGTCATTGTTCACCCTCGGCTGTGGCGGCTCCGTCCAGATGTGCCAACTGCACGTTTCGGCTTTTGCCAGCTGACTGCGCCGTTTGATAACCAGCTCTCTGGATGCCCATCACTGGCCGCAGAGATAGAATTAAATGATGATGATCTTCCCACAAGTTGGGAGAGGAAACAATGCATATAAATCTTGATTTCATCTCAGCATGAGAAGTCTTTATCCATCATCACTCATAATGAACAAGTCGTTAGCTGGGATGAATGGTGTTCTGGTTTTTCCAAACACCTCTTTTGTTCATTTTTTTGGGTGACTTTTATCCATTGCATGGGGGTCAAACTTCTTTGCATTTAGGGGATGATTGAAGAGGCACAGCCACTCCTTCCCAGGGAAAAATGGAGGTTTTGGGGTTCCAAGTGCCAATCTAATAGCTTTTAAACAGCTTCAGATAATCAAAGGTATTTAATAGGCATTCACCCTTTCGGATCCTGGTTCTTTTCTCTTGTTTTGTTCCTAAATGTATATTTGTGATATAATGCATTATATTCTAAGAAGGCCTTATTCTTAATTGTCCTAGGAGGTGAAATTTTTTAAGCTTCTTAGTAGTAATTCCACTGTTACAGATTTTTCAGACCATGAAACTCCTATGAACTTATTTGGACACAGCTGAGCCAGTGTCTTTCCGTTTGTCTCCTGTCGTTTATGTCCAATTGAATACTCGTTTTTCTGTGTTCATTCCCAGCGCTTACCATACACACATTTATTTATGTTCACCCTTGTGTACACATCACTGCCGTTTCCATCAGAGTCTTTGCCATATCCTTGGCAAAGAGCTAGGACTTGGTTATTTGAAAAACAGTGATCTACATTATTTATTCCTTTTCATGCAAAAGAAGCCAATTGAGATTGATACATTTACATAAATTACTGTCCATTTTCTTAATCCAAAAAAGCTTTTTAATAAAAGAAGCTCTTACTGTAGCTGTTTAAAGTCTGGTCTCATAAAATAGAAGACGCTCCAGTGTGGTAAAGATGGTTGTTTAAGGTTAGGTTGGTAAAGGCAGGGTATACCTTGTGTTTTTGAACTTTTGTATTGTAGAGTAGACTTTTTTTGGAGAGTGATTAATGAAGAGAGGAAAATCCTCTTGTCATAGAAAGTAACACATAGAAAATACTTTAAAAAAATTGTTGGTGTTCACAGTCGGCTATGAAATAAATACCTATTAGTTACCCATTATGAAACATGAACTTCGTCATGAACTTGGTGGGAAGAGATGCCAGGTTAGAGACACTCATCCTGACTTCCTGAGCCTCTCACAATGACTGGCTTAGTCTTTGCAAAAATGTGCCTACCATGCCCCAGGTCTGGGACAGAATTAGAGTGGTCAGCGCTGTCTTCAGATAGCTTTTACCTGATTGAGTACAGAACATCACTTGTCTCTTTGCTACCCTTACTGAACTTAGGTGAAGAAGGGGGAAAATACCACTTTAAATCAAAATACACATGCCATGTAGAGTCAGCATTTATTACATTACTCATTAGAGGTTAATTGTACTAGAATAAGACTTCAGAAATCCTTCAGTAGGCTGACAGTGCACTTATTCCTTGCCCACAGACATTTCACTTCTCTTACCTTTTTTCCAAACTGAATACATAACTGTTTGTTTAATAATAATAATAAATTTAGAACTTAAACTATTTCATTATTAAACCAAAATGTAGGCTTCATGGCAGTTGTAATATTTACTCTCTTGTCCTTCAGTCTGGCACTCCTTCCCCAGTTTTCATTTGTAAAAATCACAAGGTGGTATGTATTTGCTTCAGCAAAAGAACTCTTCTTTGTTTAGGTAAATAGCTTTGTCAATGAAAGCCCTTAGGATTTTAAAATCATTTTGCTTTTTAGGATATGCTGTCATTTACAGACACTTGTAAGTGATCTAAAATTTTGATTTGCATTATTTGTAATTATTTCATCAAGTCATAACTATTTATGAACACTGCACTTTTTTCTATTAATACTCATGCGAAAAGAATATGCTATAGTACTCTTTTTACAGTATGTTTCAGTCAGTTCTCTGCTGAGGTCTATTTTTTATGCCTATTTTTAAATGTCTCTCTTTTTATTTATTTATTTATTTATTTTTTGAGACAGAGTCTCACTCTGTCACCAGGCACCGGTCTGGAGTGCAGTAGGCGCGGTCTTGGCTCACAGCAACCTCTGCCTCCCAGGTTCAAGCAATTCTGCCTCAGCCTCCCAAGTAGCTGGAACTACAGGCGTGTACCACCACGCCCAGCTAATTTTTTGTATTTTTAGTAGAGATGGGTCTTCACCATGTTGGCCTGGATGGTCTAGATCACTTGACCTTGTGATCCGCCCACCTTGGCTTCCCAAAGTGCTGGGATTACAGGTGAGAGCCATTGCACCTGGCTTTTTAAATGTCTCTTTTAAAGTTTCTCTCCAGCTTTTCTTTTTTTTTTTTTTTTTTTTTTTAACTGACATTTGGAATCTACCTGCATTGGCAGGAAATCCCTACTATTTAAGAAAATTGTAATTTGAGAATCCAGTTGTAGAAGAATTAGATGAAGCCTCTTTACTTATGTTAACAGTTGGGTGGATGTGTTTTTGACACAGTGAAGAGTAGCTTGTCAGGTCCCTTGATTTAGGCAGTAAAATATACTAACCTGTTATTTAGTGAATAAAGGCCTTAATTCAAGTTCTCCCTCTGTCAAGGTTACCCTCACGATCAGTGACCTTCTGAGTTTCTTAGTACTTTGTTTTTGTTGTTTAAAAATGCTGTTAATCACCAGCCTTAACTAGTCTTCTGAAGCATGATGTTGGGCATGACAGAGATGCTGCTGAGAAATTGATCAACTTCAATTTTTAACATTGACACAGAAATATAGATAACTCTTGATCTACAAGAGAGAGAGAGCGTCAATGTGGGGTTTACTGAGCAGAATAGTTTTCTGCATAACTGTCTCAATAGTCTCATTATGAAATAGAGGTGATATTCTGTATTATCTGTGGGAAGATTAAAGAGGAGCATCTTAACTTTTTCTTATCCCTGTCAATTTTTGCCTTTTGATATGAGAGACAAATTTTTATTAGTCTGAAGATCCTTTTAAATGTTTCTTACAATATAGTTAATAAGCCTACTGACATTCATTCCTACTTTTATAAAATTTCACGTAGAACTTGAAAGAAAAGTGTTAGCTCTGTCGAGTGGGGACTCCCTTCTAACTCTGTATCTTTTTAGAATCACAGAGCACCTTATTGCTTGCTAATTTATTTTGTTTTCATGAGACCCCTAGAATAGTCACCAATGAGATAGTCTGTGGGGTTTCTCAAACATTCTGCCAAGTACTGCTAGGAGCAGAGGGGGAGTGAACATACACAACCAGGTGTGGGGTTGTGGGGTTCTGGTCTGAGGGACAACTAATGATGGCATCATTGGACTCTTAAGTTGTATCTTAAAAATTCATGTAAAATGCAAATACTGATTTGTAATGTATCTGTAGCTATGTTGTACATTCACTTATGTGCCCACATGTGTCAGACCTAAGGAGGACCTTATTCTAGAGCAAAAGTACACATAAGGGGCTGAGAGGGAGAATAATAGGATGCAGGGGAGCTCTCTGCATCCTACAGGGTGTTCAGGGAGCTCCTATCTGAGAAATTGACATTTAAAGGATGACCTTAACATTTAAGCTATGAACAGTTGAGGAGCAGGGCAGGGACAATGCCAATCAAAGCAGTGGCTTACCATATTTTAATGTAAAAAGAACATTTGAGATGACTTAGCAGTTTAATTTACTTAACCCCCACCCTACCAAAAAAAATCCTAGTAAAATTGACCCTTTAAGGGAGATAAAGCAGGTACCTCACACAGTTAAGTGGCACCATCATCTACCCATTTAC